TGTGAGAACAAGTAAGATTTACTCAGCGGATTTTAAGTGTACAATACAATATTGTTAACTCGAGTCCCCGTGCTGTACATTAGATCTCTGAACTTACTCATCCTGTATATCTGACACTTTGTGTGCTTTGACTAACATTTCTCCATTTCCCTCCACCCCCAGCCCTTCATAACCACTGTTTTGCTATCTGCTTCTATGAATTCACCGTTTTTATATTTCACATATAAGTGACATCATGCAGCATTTGTCTTTCTATGTCTGGCTTATTCTACTTAGCATGATGTCCTCCAGGTTCATCTACATTGTTGCAAATAACAAGATTTCATTCTTTTTTAAAGCTGAATAATCAGTCCATGGTGTGTGTGTGTGTGTGTGTGTGTGTGTTTGTGCATGCACGTGCGTGTGTGTACATTTTCTTTATCCATCTATCCTTGACAGCCACTTAGGTTGTTTCCATACTTTGCAATTGTAAATAATGGACTGGGGAGTGCAGCTGTATCTCTTCAGGATTTTAATTTTATTTCCTTCGGCTGTATACCCAGAAGTGGGATTGTTAGATCATATGATAGTCCTATTTTTAATTTTTTAATGATCTTCTATACTGTTTTCCATAATGACTGTTTCAGTTTCCATTTCCAACAGTGTGCAAGGATCCTCTTTTCTCTACACCTCCTCAACACTTGTTTTCTTTTGACTTTTTGATCCCAGCCATTCTGACAGGTATGAGGTGATTTCTCATTGTGGTTTTAATTTCCATTTCCCTGATGATGGGTGATGTTGGGCACATTTTCATATACCTGTTGGCCTTTTGTATGTCTTCTTTTGAGAAATGTCTATTGAGATCCTTTGCCCATTATTTATTGATTGATTGATTCATTGATCCTTTGCCCCCTTTTTAATCAGGTTATTTGGTTGTTTTTTGGAGGGGTTGTTTTTTGTTTTGCAGTTGAGTTGTTTGAGTTCCTTATGCCATCTGTAAATAGTGACAGTTTTGCTTCTTCCTTTGCAATGTGGATGCCTCTTACTTCTTTTTCTTGCCTGATTGCTCTGGCTCGGACTTCCAGTACTGGGTTGAAGCAGGTGTGGTGAGAGTGGGGAACCTTATCTTGTTCCTGATTTTAAAAAGCTTTCAGTGTTTCACTATTGAGGATGACATTAACTGTGGGCTTATCCTGTGTGGCCTGTATTATACTGAGGTACATTACCTAATTTGTTGAGAGTCTTTATCATGAAAGGATGTTGTATTTTGTTGAATGTTTTTTCTTCATTTATTGAGATGATCATAGGATTTTTTTTCCTTTCAATTTGTTAATGTGGTGTTTCACATTTATTGATTTGCAGATATTCAACCATCTTTGCATCCCAGGGGTGTATGACCCTTGATCGTGGTATATGACCCTTTCATGTGCTGTTGAATTCAGTTTGGTGGTATTTTGTTGAGGAGTGTTTCATCTGTGCTAATTAGGGATATTGGCCTGTAATGTTCTTTTCTTGTAGTGTCCTTATATGGCTTTGGTATCAGGATAATGCTGGCCTTGTAAGATGGGTTTGGATGTGTTCCCTCCTCTTCAGTTTTTTTGGAAGAGTTTGAGCGGGGCTCTTGTTAATTTTGCCTTAGCTGTCTTTCCTGTTTGATTGCCTATTCAGTCTCCTTACTCACTATTAGTTTGTTCAGATTTTCTCCTTCTTCATGAGTCGGTCTTGGGAGGTGGTATGTTTTTAGGAATTTGTCTCTTTCTTCCAGGTTGTCCAACTTGCATTTAATACTCCATCCTGATTACTTTCACATGGTGGGAGGGTGTAGTGTGAAAGTGGCTTTCACAACAGATCAGTGTTGACATCCCAGCTTCACCACTTAGGGTCTGCGTTGTTTTGGGTAGTCATTTTACCCCTGAACTCGTGTTTGCCTCCCTGTCTGGGGCTACTACTCTGAATTACCCTGGGCTGGATGAGGATGAGCTATCACAGGAAAGCCCGTTTCTCAGGTGTGGGTTGTGGAATTGTGTTGCGGTTATTAATGTTCAAAATATTCTTCAAACATGTGTTTTTAGTGGCATTGTTTTATCAAGTGAAATGATAATATAAAAGTGAGAACGAACAATAAAGGAATATAATGTTTATATGGGAAAAACAACTTCTATACACTTGCAATTGAAGCATTTCCCCCCCACATACGTAGAGAGTCCATATGATAGTAGACTAAATGAGTTAAGCAATTTTTAACAGGCTTCCATTTTGCTGCCCAGCATCTAAATGCTGGTTAAATTAGAACAAGCATACTTGTAAAATTTAAACCTTATTTTATAATGTACATGCTAAAAAAAATATGCATTATTAGCCTATGACACAGTGAATTTTCACAATGTAAACACACTTATACAACCAGCAACAAACAGAATGTTACCAGGCACTTCCAGAAGCTCCTTAAGACCCCCTCCTGCAAGCGACTGCAAGTGTCTCCCTCCTAAGAATCATCCTCATCCTGACCTCTGTCACCATAGATTACTTCCCCCTGCATTCGACTTGATTATACCTATGGTGATACGGCTCATTTCGCTTAGTATCATGTTGTGAGGTTCATCTGTGTGTTGCATGTAGCAAGAATTTGCTTATTAATTCGGTCTCTCCCGCCCTTCTCATCTGGGGATTCTGCCAGGGTATGAAGCCGCAGTGTCCTAAGGCATCCATCATAAGTAGTTGAATTGATTTCTCTCCTTGCATCTAGAATGTTAGAGCCTTGTAGCAGCTTTGGGAGAGTTGAGAAAATAGTCACTCAAATCATTTCTGGTAGAATCCATGAGCTTTAGCTTTTCTGGGTTTTGTAGTCTAGCAGCCCTCTCATGCCTTCCAGTGGATGACTTCTATTATTTTATCTGCTTTTCTTGTTCTCCCTGGGAGTTCTGGTGTACTGCACACCGCTCCACCAGGAAGTGGAAGCCCAGCAAACATGCTTTAAATGCATAGCTGGATCCTAGGAAAATAAGGGAAATGCTCAGGACCCCCCCCCCAAAAAAAAGATGTCGTCGAGAGTGGGCGGGTGGGGAGCTGCAATCCCAGCAGGTAAATGAACACAAGCCAGGGCCCTGAGACACTGTGGAAACTTGGCCCCTAGAGCCTTGGAGTATGAACGGCTGGCTGGAAGCGGGAGCCAAAGACTTGGATGGGATGGGAGGTGGAGAATGCTGGAACTGTGTCCCTCTCCATAGCTCCTAATATTATAGGACTCTCAGAGCTATATTCTTTGAATAGAAGAGTGGGCTGGGAAATATAACCCTCCTAATGGCTATAAAATGTCTGTTTTAGCTATGTAGGGGGTTTCGGTTTATGATTTGTCTGCCAAAGATCTGATCCAGAGCTTCTCCTCAGAGGTCTTTGGGGTTTGCGATTAGACTCCCCCTGATGTCCAGGAGACCCAAGTCTAGAAAGAGAAAATTACCACTCACACCAAGACACACCTGCCGGGAAAGCCGGCAGAGACAGCCAAAGAGCGGAGCTAGAGTCCCCAGAGCATCTCGATATGTTGTCAAGTAGCTATGTTTAAAATCAAAAGAAACAAAGGGTAGAATTTTTTTTTTTTTTTTAAGATTTTATTTATTTGACAGAGAGAGAGAACATAAGCAGGGTTAGCTGCAGAGGGAGAGAGAGAAGCAGGCTCCCCACCGAGCAGGGAACCCGATGCGGGGCTTGATCCCAGAACCCTGGGATCATGACCTGAGCCGAAGGCAGATGTTTAACCGACTGAGCCACCCAGGCACCCTTAAAGGGTAGAATTTTAAAAATATGAGCAGGATGCAAACAGTAGCAAAAATGACTATGCAGATTTGAGGAAGAACCAAATGCAGGTTTTAGGAAAGTGCTTAGCTTGGCACCTGGCATTTAGGAGCTACTTAACAACTGTTAGCTTATTGCGGACTTACAGAAGGTGCTCTCATTTAGGCAAATGATTCTCTGTAGAAAACTCATGACTTGGGGCACCTGGGTGGCTCAGTTGGTTAAGCGCCTACCTTCAGCTCGGGTCATGATCCCAGCCGGGGTCCTGGGATCAAGCCCCGCGTCAAGTTCCCTGCTCAGCGGGGTTCCTGCTTCTCCCTCTTTCTCTGCCTCTCCCTCCTTCCCCTGCTCATTCTCTCTCTCTCTCTCAAATGAATAAATAAAATCTTTAAAAAAAAAATGAAACTCATGACTTTACACAGTAGGACGTGTCTTGGTGGAGCCTCAACTTGAGAAGTATTCACTAGTACTGTTGTTCTGTTGGCCTTAAAATTTATTGACTTAGTTGGGATTGGAATCACAACTTTGAGGCAGTTGCAAGCAGGTGTGGTAGGCATTTGCCCACGTGGTCAGTTTCAGCAAATCTCAGGATTATCCTTTGTCCGAGAGATCTGTCTCTACCTGGCTAGTTCCTGGATTCCTTTTGCATAAGGCTTTGTTTCCTGAAAACCTGTCATATGAAACATCATTTTTAGGTGCAAATGTAAAAAAAATTGTATTATAGGTTAGAAAAGTAATGTCAGGTATCCCTTATCCTGCAGTGGGAGGAGCCAGGTACATAAAACTCATAAGAAGGTTTATAAAAATGAGTGTATTCTTGGGGCAGCTTTGGCACTTCTCCCCTCACCCCCAACATGTTTTGAGTGCCTCCTGGATTCCAGGCCTTGTGCTAGCAGGAAGCTTGTGAGGATGACAAAAACATTGTTCCTCCTTCCCTGGAATTCACATTCCAGTTGATCACCAAGTCTGCCCTGGGACCCTTACGCATGCATGGGAATGAATTAAATCTGTTACGTGCTTCCTTCTGCAAAACTGTTGATATCTTACGAATTTCTGATGAGTCTTCTTCAGCTTTTGGAGCAAGATGAGTATATATATTATGTATATTTCCAAGTATATGGAAACAGTGACTGGTTAGCTAGATACCATAGTTTTCAAGCAAATAAATAGGTTAAATAATCAAGTTAACTTCTCCATATTACTAATTCCACCACTCCAAATCTTTTTAGGACGATGTGAGGCGTAAGGTTCATCTGAACACCTTTGGATTCTTCAAGGATGGGTACATGGTGGTTAATGTCAGTAGCCTTTCCGTGAATGACCCTGCAAGAGCCACAGACAAGGACACAAGTGTAAGTGCCTTCCCAGGAGGTCAAGGGCATTACCCTTCTCTGTTGCTCAGATGAGAGCTTCACCCCACACTTAAATACGAAGTCTCAGATTATGGAGAAAATTAAACTTGTGAACAGGCATCAAATAGTTTTACTTTTAACACTTAAGGTGTAATTTTTGAATAATTTTAGTAATTAGTGATCCCTCTTACAAAATGAATGCTAAGAAAACCAAGAGAAGGCTAGGCCAAAGAATCACCTTTTCTGCTCTTTGAGTAAGAAAGGTATGGATGCCAGAGTATCATGTGGATATTTACCTCTACTCTTTTTACCCCCTCTTAGATTGGATTCAGCCTGGACCGCACAAAGAATGACGGATTTTCTTCTTATCTGGTGAGCATTACACACATGACCTGATCACTCCCTTCATGTGAGCCCAAGACACTGGGTGAGAACACCCTGCTTCTGTCAATGCTCTTTTCTTGCTGGGGTGGCTGCTTTGACTCCCTAGCATCTCTGAGCACCCACAGTTGTGTTCTTCGGGATAGAGGTTGGATCACTTATTTGCCTTGTTCCTGAAAACCTTTTGTTCTTGTTCTAGTGTGAATGACTAAGATGATGTACAATTGGGTCTTCCTTTCTCAGGATGAAGATAATTACTGTATTTTAAAAAAGCAGTCTGTCTCTGTCACCCTTCTAATTCTAGACATCTCCAGAAGTGAGTAAGTAATTCTCATGTTCCTTCAGTTCCATCCTCAAGTAAAGTTACGGGGAATTTGGTAGTTAAGGTAACATTTACTGAGTGTCTGCCATGTGCCAAATACTGTGCTGAGTGCTGGAGGTTAAGAACACGATGAGGGAGACGGAGGTGCCACCCTCAAGGAGCTTGGAGATGAATGAGGGAGGCCAAACACCAATACAGATGATCATGGCAGTATAGAGAGGTAGTGGGGCAGAGAAACTGGTGAATTGTAGAAGAGAAGGGAAGGCTTCAGGCAACTCTTGGCCCAAACAGCCTTCGAGTGAGTGGACTTCATCAGGTGAATAAGGGAAGAGCATTGGAGGCAAAGGTAGAGCAGCTCGAAATAGTGTGGCGTGTTCAACAGAGTGAGTTTATTATCCCCGCCAGCTCTCATCCAGGGACAGAGGGAAGCCTCTCCCCCATGAGGCAGGACTAGAAGTGCTCCCCTCCATCTCGACCGTGCTAGCTTAGCTCACGTGTCCATTCAGGCATGGGGCCTCACCTGCCCCTCCTTGGCAGGATCTAAATCCGCTAAGAAGCGAGAGAGAGGAAATGCTTGTGCCCGCTGCTTCTCACATGCCCCCCTAGAGTTCACTTTAACATCTTACTGGTTTTTTGCCCCTTGTTCTGTTCCCCTTGTTGAGCACATTATAGACACTTAGGGGGAAAATATGTCCTTCAGAACTGTGTGGTTGCTAGGAACGTAAGCTTCACAGTGAGAATGCTGGGTCCTCGCCTGGCTGCTTCTGGCCTCACCACTCTTGAGCAAGTTCTTAACCTTCCTGAGTCCCCATTTCAGCAGGTGCACGAAGGAGCTAGTAGAATCTACATCAGGGACTCGAAAGGACTGTCCGAGATAATGGATTTAGATACCGAGACAGTGTGTAACACATGGCACTCAGATGGCCATTGCATTACCTTGAACTTCTTTTCTTTTCTCTTATTTTGAATGTAGGGTGAGAGTAAGATCTCCACCAGATGCTGGTACGCAGTTACCAAAGATCGTCTTCAGCAAGGATGAGAAGGGCCTAGGCCAGAGCCAGGAGCCTGGAGCTAACCCTGTTTCAGCGGGAAACCAGACTCAGCCAAAACAAGGTCAGCTGTCAGGCTCAGACCAGCATTTTCTTCACTGCCCTGCTCTGTAGATTCTTTTTTGTCCCCAAGTAAAAGCACATACATCGTAGCATTATGTTATTTTGGGGGTTATACAAAAATATATAACCGTTAAAGGAAAAGGTGGAAACTATGGGGAAGGTGGGGAAAAGAACAGTCGTTCCTCCGTCCTTGCAGCACTAGAACTTGAGTAATCCATGTTCTTTCTGGGCTCTTTCATGGGTCTGGAATGTTTGTTTGTTTGTTTTTAGATTTTTAAAATTTATTTATTAGAGAGAGAGCAGAGCGAGCAAGAGAAACTCATAGTCATCATGTTTGTAATTTCTTAAGCATCCCTGTTCACTCAGCTTGCAGACAGTTCATTCTTACCAGCCCTCCCGTTATGTGGATCCTATAATTTGCTCAAGTTTTCCTCTTGAGATGTATTTCCACTGTCTGCTATTATAAATATTGCTGCATTGGGAGTTCTTTATTTGTAGAACTTTGGTCATATCTAGAACTTTTTTTAGGATGGGTTCCCGGAATTGGAATATTTGGTTCAAAGGCTGTGAATACTTTGGAGAATATTGGTACATATGTTCAGTTCCTTTCTAAATGCGTTGTATGAATTGATGCTCCTTTTGGGAAATCTGTAGGAATACTGACCACATCACCATGTCTTAGCCAGGACTGGGTTTTGGGTGTTTATTTGTTTGTGTTAATCCCAAAGTAAAAGGCAAAAAGGATATTCTTGGTTTTGTATTCATTCTCACTACTGAGGCTGCACTTTATCTCCACATGTTGATTAACCAGTTTATATTTATTGCCTCTTTTATTAACTGTCAGCCTTGTCTAATAGTTTAGTTCTTTCAAGAGAACTTACTCTTTATTGTATTTATTTACACATTTTTTTTTCTCAGTTTGTCAAAACCCTAACCCAAATTAAAAGACATGCAGAAATGTTACATGTGTTTGATGGTAGAGCTTAGTGCCTGTGTGCCATTCATTTCTTGTTCACATATGCATGCCCTGCACAGAAAGTATTCTTTTCCTTCTTTTATTCTGAAACTCTCTCCCTGCAGGGAGTTTGAAATCCTGTCTTCCCCATGAAGGGCATCTTAAGTGAAAATAAGGCACAGATACCCTCCCTGTTCCCTGAAAGAAGCCATTAGTAGTCTTAACACACCTTGCTGTGTGTGGGGGAAAAAAAGTATGAATTGTGCTAATATGATTTGCTATTAATTTTTCCCTGTGTATAAATAAATGTCATATATGTATTTTAAAATGATCTGTTTTCAAGCGTGATAACTTAGAAAATGAGGAAGGTCACTCCATGTGGCACCTCTGGCAATAACATCACTAGGTTATTCAGAGATGATTTCCCTGTTGGTACTAAGTATTATCCTTTATTGGAGAGCATTGATCATGTAGCAAGCTCCAGTTTGCTGCTTCTGTGGCTCAGGAATTGTTTTGGAATCTGAGGAGTTGTCAGTCTACAAGAGAGCATGTGGCCTCACCTCAAACTAACAAGTAGTTTGAATTATTTGATATTAGACAAGCTAGAGCTTCATAAAATGACCCTGTCATACATATACAAGCTGAATCATGCAATAATATCTTTTAAATGTTTCTGCTTCTAGACAGTGGAAAATCTAAAAGAAGTACAGTAGATTCAAAGGTAAGAACTGACCACCCACTGTGCTCAGCTTTCCAGGATATATATGTACATATGTGTGTATGTGTGTGGATATAGATGTAAGTGTATATATGTGGGGATATGAGGGGATGTATTTATATACATGCATATATACAGGTACACACATACACACGCCTGATCCGTGGGGAGTGGCCGTCGTTTGGAGAGGTAATGTTACCACATTGGAAGAATTTCAAAGTAACATTCAGTTCTGAGTTGTACAGCACTTACATGGTAGAGGATCAGACAGTGAGGGGGGCTGCCCTCAGGAAGGAGATGTCATCAGGGCTTGGAGTTTGGTGGGTTTGTTTGGGGAAGAGGAAGGAATGTCATAAGCAAAGACCGGAAGTGGGAATGAGCATGACAAATGCTGGGTGCTGGCCTATGGGAAGTAAAACATGTGTCTTTGGGAGCAGAGACAAGGATCTTAGATAATAAAAGTCCAGACAGTAGAGGGTATTAATTGATGCACAGAAAATAGGAAGTTGTCAGGAGTTCTTGATCAGGAAGGACTGTGATACAGATGATGTTTGGGGCAGATGTTCTGAAAGTAATGTGCAGAGCAGCCTCAGAGAGGGAGACAGTGAAATTAGGACGACCAGGAAGAATGCGGTTGTAACAATACCGGTTCAGGGCCATGAGGACCTGCGCTGGAGCAGAGTCTTGGAATGTGGAGTAAGGGATGGGGCGGTGTTGGGGGCAGGGGAGGAAGGAAGTATTTATTTATTTATGTATGTATGTATGTATGTATGTAGAAGAGTAGATGGTAGAAATAGCAGAAGGAAAAATTGGGAACATTTTGGGTTGGGATATCTTGATTTTTCAGTGAGGGGACATCCAAATGGCAGTATTTTATTTTAACAGCTGTGTTGAAGTATAATTGACATACAATAAACTACACATATTTAAAGTGACAGTTTGCTAAGTTTTGACTTAAGTGTACACCTGTGAAGCCACCCCCACAACAGAACAGTGAACGCACTCATCAGCCCTCGAGTTTCTCCTGCCCCTTCGTCTTCCTCCCGTCCTCAAGCAACCGCTGATCTGCCTCTGTAGATGAGTAATGTAGAACTTTATAGAGGTGCATTATGCAGTACGTGCTCTTTTTGTTTTCTTTGACTCAGCATAATTCTTTTGAGTTCATCCATGTTGTTGGGTGTATCAGTAGCTCACTCCTTCTCTTTGCTGAGAGTTAGTCCACTGCACCAATGGCAATAATACACTGATCATTTGAAATTGGGAATGGCGTCCAGGTGAAGTGCCAGGATGTGACCTGGGTGGGCACCTGTAGTCCTGCTGAAACTGTAAGAATGGAGACACGCTCCAGGCGGGTCGGGGGGCAGGGGCAGGGAATAGGGGGTTAGTGGGAGGTAGAAGAGACCGCTGAGAAAAGGAAGTGGGTGAGGAAGAGTTTCTTTCTCTGTGAAAGGGGATCGCAGACATCTTGAAAGGATGGTGAATTTTATTTCCAGAGAGCTTCTGAAGGTCAGCAAAAGATTTAAGAAGGATGCGCTTTTGTTTTGTTCTGTTTTAATTTTAATTTTAAATTTTAAAAAATTTTTTATTGTTATGTTAATCACCATACATTACATCATTAGTTTTTGATGTAGTGTTCCATGATTCATTGTTTAATTTTTATTTTTATTAGTATACATTTTCTGCCAGTATCCTAAAACAGGTTGTTGTGTTTTTTTTAGGCAACGGGAGAAAAATCCTTTTCTGTTCACAATAGTGATGGGGCAGTTTCTTTTCAGGTATGTATTCTCTTGAGTAATCTTCATAGGATTTATCTCTACAGTGTAAAAGGGTGAATTTGCAAAGGAATTTTGAATTTAGGAATAATAATTTAGGCATGCTACGTATCAGTCACTCGAATGCAGTAGCTCTCTCCATAGCAAACCCACAAGGTGGATATTGTTACCCACCACTTAGCTGATCATGTCTCTGAGAATGAGTGACTTTGTGAATGTCCAGTGTGAGTGACAAGGCCCACATTCCAACAACCCACGTCTGCCTGGCTGTCCTCACACCTCTGCCTCTTTAATCGCGTGCTGCCTCCCATTCGGAGTGTGCTAGAAGCACAGAATTCTGTACCTGGAAGGACCGTTGGTGATCATTTAGGATGCTGGTAGAATTTTAGAGATGAGTTCACCGAGGCTCAGCAGCGTTGAGTGACCTACCCGTCTGGCCCCATTCTTCACTGCCCATGAGTTTATGGCAGCATCCCAGCCTGTGGATGGGCTAGGACGTTGGATGGGGTCTCAGCACCCACTTACTAGCTGGTGGCCTTAGCTCACTTAACTCCTGGATCTTGCTCTTTAATCATCTAAGAGTGAACAATGGTGGCACCTTTCTCATAGGGTTGTTATTAGTATCATTTTTTAAATATAAAAGTGCTCTGGAAGCAGTGCACAAATAATCTTTTATCATTAATTTGTAAGAATCACTGCCCCTTTTCAAACCAGTTTTCAATAATTGAGGTATAATTTGCTCAGAGTGAAATGCACAGGTCTTAAATGTGCAGTCGATCAGTTCCGACAAATGCACGCACCCGTGTAACCCACTCTCTACCAAGATTCTCTATATTTTTACCACCTCAGCGTCCCCCATCCCTGCATCCACTGTTCTGATTTCTTTCAGCATAAATTATTTTGCCTATCTAGCAATGTTTATATTGTCTTTAAATTTAGTGACCATAGGTATTAATAGCTAATTGAGAGCCTGTGGATGCTTCCCAACTGCCTCAGAGCAAAAGCTCCAGCCCTTCCTGGTCTGCAAAGCCATGTAGTCTGGCCGCTGTCTCCTCACTGACATTGGCTCCTGTTTCCCTTCCAGCCACAGAGGCCACCTTGCTGTTCCTAGAAACAGTCAGGCCTTAGGCTCTGCTCTGGCTGTACCCACTGGCAGGAATGGTTGTCCCTCAGAAGCCAGTGATTCATTTCTTCCTCTTTCAAGCCTTTGCTCAAATGTCATATTCTCAGCAAACTTTCCTCCATTCGCCCTATTTTAAATGCTGCTTCCTTCCCTCCCTTCCTCCTGCTGGTTTTCCCTTAACACTTCTCCTTTCCAACATGCTGTGTCCTCTGCTTATTTATTATGCTTATTTTCTGTGGCTCCCTGTAGAGGGTAGCCATAAGGGAGAGGGTTTTTTTTAATTTGTTTTTTTTCTGATGTATTTGAAATCCCTAATCTTGCGCCTGGCCTGTAATAGGCTGTCTGTTAGTAATGATGGAGCCGAGTGATGGGTGTGGAGTGCTTGCACGTTGTCATTACCTCAGTTCATCCTTCCGGCAACTCTGTGAAGGAGGCACTGTTATTATTCCCCTTTTACAGTTGAGGAATCTGAGGCTCAGAGAGGTTAAGTAACTTGCACAAGGGAAGGATTCAGACCCAGGTTTGTCTGCCTCTAAGGCCATTCATGTGTTTAATCACTTTCTTTACTGCCTCCTTAAGAAAATACAAAAGGTGCTTTTTTCTCTTTTCCTTCTCTCACTTTAAAGTGCTTATTAGTACAGTAAGTTTTTTGAAATTTCTTTAAGCCTTTTTAAAAAAAAAACAAAACACCAAGGAAAGCATGATAGGATATACGTATTTGTCAGTTACTAAAGCTTTGTGTTAGGGCGAGTGTCGTGATTAAGGACAGTGGTTGAGATAACCAGTTCATAGGCTTCTCGGGACTCAGGAAACAGGCAGTGGACGGACAGTCTGCCTCTTCTCTGGCTTCCCTTCTCCTCGGATAGAAGTCAGTGGGTGACCCCTTGCTGTGCTGCTACTCAGTACCCTAATTTTGGACAGGGCAGTCATTGTGAGCTTGTCTGCTCCATCCACAGAGCAGGGATGGTGTTTTCTCTGCCTAAAGCAGGAAAGGGACTGTTAGCCCTTATTCCTACTCTAAAACATACACTTTTGTTTGATTTTTTTTTTTTAAGGGTCAGGTGCCTGCTCTGGTCAACCATGACGAATGTACTGACTTTTTAAAAAAATTTATATTTCTTAGAAATTTCATATGATTCTTTTTTTTTTTTTTAAGATTTTATTTATTTATTTGAGAGAGAGAGAGCATGAGGGGGAGAGGGTCAGAGGGAGGAGCAGACTCCTCGCTGAGCAAGGAGCCCGATGCGGGACTCGATCCTGGGACTCCAGGATCATGACCTGAGCCGAAGGCAGTCGCCTAACCAACTGAGCCACCCAGGCGCCCAATTTCATAT